AACGAAGTTACGGAAAGTTAATTAACAAACGGAGACGTAACAATATTGTACTCTGAAGAAATTAGGGCAAAAGGACACAAATTTATAACACTCTAGTTAAGATAGTTTTATTCTCATAATGTGATGTTTATGGAATCAGTTGTCACTTGCAGTAGTGGAAACAATGACTTTTTAAATGGGTTTAAATTGTTACTTAAGGGTTGGTCTGTAAAGACAGCCTTCAAGGTCTAAATGGTATCTTGTCTGTATATTTGGTTATATTGACATTGTACACCATTATTATTTAGCACTGGTTTGAAATTGTGAGAACATTTTGGCAAAGATTTAACCTGTTCTTATAAGATAAATTTTCATCCCTAGAATAATCTTAATAGCCCTTTTATGAACCCTTTCCAGTAAATCAGTATCCTTTCTAAGATAAGAAAACCTATATGAATTAGATGTAATAGAACTAGTTATTTGAAAATCACACCCCAGTTGATCATTGCAAATGATCCTCAGACACCCAATCAAGAAGCTAATAAAAGCAATTACTGAGATTTTAATCCTGTATGTTTCTTGTTCGAGAAAGGATCGGGGGACTGATTTCTGATTTAAGATCATTAAGGTTTTAATTTTCATGTGGTTTATGAGAGAAACATGTTATCTGAGGAGAATGAAGATAGATTTTTTGCTATATTTTTTAACTTGTGGATTCCTTGCTTTAGTTGGATTTCCATTTTTATATGAACAACTAGCTAAGTTAGGAGGCCAGAGACTGTTTCTTGAAACTGTGTACGTTGGTGTTTGTAGTTTTTGAGATTCCATCATTTTTCCCTAACTACTTCATGGTCCATCTCACAGTTTTCTTGAACACTTCTCTACGTTTCATTCGTATTCCTTATTAGTGTTTCAGGTAGTGGTGTTAATGTTATAAATTCATCAAATATCTATTAATGTAGGTTACAGGTGGATGAAAGATATTTTAAGCACCATAGTTAGTTGCACATAAACTGTAGATCTCTTCTTCAAAATGTCTTGTTCTTTGGTTTGGTCTTTATTTATGGCTACTGGCAAGAGATAGAATTTCTGATATTATCGTCAGTGATGTGTAGTAAATCTAAGATATGGCTACTGATGAGTGATGGATTTCCCCGATATCGGTATCATAGACATTTGGTTAACATAAGAACAGAATGGGCTTGGTGTTCTTTTTTTTTTGTTATTGCGAAAATACATGTACAAGAATGCAAAAATTATGTCTACTGAACAATATGGTTGCATCTATGTTACCTTCTTTTTGATGGTACTTTGAGTAAGTGACATTTCAAACATTATACATGTGTTTTGGTAGTGTTTTTTCAAACATTTTGTGAACCTTATGTTTTAATTTCCTTCTTCTGCAAAAAGAAATATTAAGCAGAAAGTATATATAAATGATTTTTCTTCCATAGATCTTACACGGACATTCTTCACTAGGTATGAATCTACCTCACCTGTCTCAATTTTTTTATTTTAATTTCAGGCTTACTGTACAGTGTACAGAAAGAGTGCCAGCTTCAATATGTCAGAAATAACTGCTATACAGGTGATCGTTTTAGAAACCTTTCTTTGCACATTAAGGTATATATACCTGATTGCATGGAATGAGTATTAATATATGACATTTTAATCATGATCATTCAAAAGCTCTCATGATTTATCTGTAAAAGCAATATATATTTGCTTGACAGCCATGCTGATATGATGTTTTATTTGAGTGCATAGATATCAACTGGTAAGTAATCTATTTACAGTGGCATGCTCTATATGTGTTCTGTATTCCTGTGTCAATGCCAAATATTATGTGCAAAAAAGAAAGCATGTTTTGTTTGCCTGTGTTAGCCAGCTGTTTTATTTTTTCCATTAACAACACGTACCTGGATGTGGTTTAGATATTGGCTCATTTTCATTTATTTGTTGCAGTGAGTTTTATAGAAATTTTTCCAATGATAGATTGATTCTCAAGAAAATATTTTGAAGAAGCAAATTAAAATTGCACAATTTGTTTTATGGATGTATTATTTCATTTGTCACCTAGTTGAAAAGATAGTTGGCTTAGATCATAATGCAGATCTAGTGTTGTTAGAAATGTTTTGTTTTTGGAATGTATTCATTCATTTTCATTTCAGTTGAGTGTGCATGATACACCCATTTGAATGTTTATTTCCAAGTTGTAATACTAACAATTATATATATATATATATGAGATATGCTTGCTGAATTTGTGTTTATGTAATTTTTATAGAGTTGGATGTTTTTTTCTTTTCTTTGAGTTAAAGAATATTATAGTTCTTAGACATACTTATAACATATAAAGTGACAGTAAAAAGTCAGTGATATAAAATATTTTTATTGAAGAAGTTTCTTACAAAACAATTTAAGATTATAAAATTTATATGAGTATATTTAGTTCTTTGGTTTCATTACAATGTATTAATTAACATTAGGTATATAGTGTATGAAAATAGAAAAATGCAATTTCTCATAGTAGTTGTATTTTTCAACTTTTTTTTCTTCTATCCTTGAAAAAGAAACTTGTACATTAAAACAAAACAACTAGAGTATGTAAGTATGTATCTGTGCTTGTAATAGTAAAATGTTTTAACCTTAGAAATTCTGATAAAGTCCTTATAAATCCATCCAATTTTAATTACATTTTTATAAGTTATTACTGCACCAAATTGCTTGCGAGTCCGTGATGTTACTGGTCACAGGGCCATTAACATATTAGTCATGCAAAAAATTATAATATACCATCAGTATTGTAATGAAATCCACTACTTACTACTGGGATTCCCATATGTTTTGAATGTAGGAAATGTGTAATTCTACCCTTTTTTTGGGGTTAGCTCTTTACAATGAGTGTTGTAATAGGTAAAAATTTAAAATTACAAAGTATAATACAGTTTGTGAACACTATTAAAAATTGAGTCTGTGATGTGAGGGTTGATAACACAATTTTCATTTATGTATGTATGGTTCTTATATATCTAGGGTTTGTTTTTTTCAAAGAGCTTTTATTGAAGCTACTTGTTATCAAGGAGATTGGGACATTTATTGTTCTCTTCTATTGTGTATAAATGTATTACATGTAAGTAATATCTTCTCAATTGGTGTCAAGTTTTGGACCTAGGCTTGTATTGATTTATTTTTTCATTCCTTCTTTGATGTACTTTTTCTCCCTCAGTTTTTACCTGTTATTGATTTGGCCATGTCATAGGTTACAACAAACAGGTTTTTATCAAGGTATTCTTTACTGCAAAGTTAATACCTGTATGTATATTGGATGAATGATAATTTTATTAAAAATACCTCTGCATTCCCAGTAAGTCAACATTCTTCCTGATAGAGCTGAGTGCTGAATTTGGTTCCAACTGTTGCATAATTCACAACTACATTTTTTAATGATTTCAACTATAGAATGTACATCCTCTATTCTACAGTTCATAGCTACATCTTTTGATGATTTCAACTATAAGATGTACATCCTCTATTCCACAGTTTACAGCTACATCTTTTAATGATGTTAACCACAGAATGTGCATCTTAGGTAAAAATCATTTACTCTAGGAGAACACATGCCTGCATATCTGTTTGACAAAAAAATATGACACTATTTGTTTTGGGGAGTGTTGTATTGAATGCACTCATTGGTGTTTTCTCAAAGATTTTTCTTCACTTGAAGGATAAAACTTGGTTAAACTGCATGTAAGCTGTGAATGCAAAATATTTTTTAACCATTTTTCTGTCCAACTATTGTTTTTTCTTTGATTGCTTTATTACTTTGAGCAAGTTTTTGGTTTTCAGTTATTTGTGATGTTTTATAAATTTTGTTATTTTAATAAAAAGTTGATAAAAATAATTTTTAACAATAAGTTTTTTATATATATACGGGTTCAGCTGGTAGAAACTGCATGCCTTAAGCCAAAATTATCTTATATTAACTATTACTTGTGGTTACTTGTAATTAAAATACTTGTTTAGAATAAAAAGCCCTTGATGTGTTATTGAGTTTTAAGATTACCTTTACGTTTTTTTTATTTTGGCAACAAATCCAAAAGTAATTGAACTAATAGCACATTTTCCATAAATTGCAAAACATACAATTTTATATATAATTTATTTTGTACAGTAGAATAACAATCTCTTTTTTTCTTCTTCTTGTATTTGGCCACTAAAAGCAAATCTAGTTTAAAGATGGTGCCATTAATTTTGAGTTTGTGTAGCAAATGGTTCAGAACTAAGTCGCTTTCATTTATGAAATCAGCATATTCATCAACTAGAAACGAGCACTTTCGGTGGTCATGAATAAAAATGAGAATCGTTTATCACGGTGGTACTTTGGAGGTCTGGCAAGTGCTGGAGCAGCTTGCTGTACCCATCCACTGGACTTGCTAAAGGTGAGAACTGTTTAGTTTCGATTGGAAAGTTTGTTGCTTATGTTATAGAGTCATTTTAATGCAAATATTTTTCCATAGTAACATTGTTTTGATACCTTATTAGAATATTTTAGGTCTTTTTCTGTATTTTTTAATTATGGAGTAAAGTTTTCTCTCTCTCTAGTATTTTTCTTATTTTTATAATTATGTTTCATAATGGAACCAAGATGGATTTTGGACCTTAGATAAAGTAAATGTGGCTGTTAACACATTACTTCGTTTATAATTTTCCAAGAAAAACCTGGCACCCCTTCAAAATCTACTGTTTATCTCTGCTTATGCACACATCCTTTTAGTTAGTATCAATAACAGCTTGGAGAGTTGAACTAAGCTTAAAATGTAAATGTACAAGTATGATAATATGATTATGATATAAAAAGCAATGTATTGTGCACGTACTTTTATTATGCTCATACTTTTACCCGGTATTATTTCAGGAGATCTTGAAAATAATATAAGGATGTAGTAGTGTTCTGTCGTAATTGATATTATTGGTTAAATTTGTAATATATATTCTAAGTTACTAAAACATTATAACAGTTATTGTTTTTTGTTTTTTTTAATTAGGGACTTTTTTGATTTAGTTAATAAAATTCTAGAATGCATAAGATATGAAAGTTTTTTCACTATCATAATTTAAGAAAACTTTTATTGATTACGTTTAGAATTATAACGTTTTAGCAAAAAATGTTGAAATTTTATGGAAATGCTTTACGGAAAATGTGTGATGCCTTGTTTGTGGTTGTATTTAAGTTCTTATATAATTACTGACCTGATAAATATATCCAAAAATGATTTATTTCAAAAATAATGATATGAAATAACAATAAACATTTATACTTTTTGAGTTTTTAAAAAAGGCTTCTTTTTAATAATTTGGAGTTTTCACATGTATCAGAATGTGTTTTCTCAATTTTAACAGTAATGTTAAATGTTTAAATCTCATCCATCAAAAGAAATTCCTGTTTGGTATTAATTATTGAATAAGAACTGCAAAAATCTTCACATTAATTAAATTTCACTATTAGTTTTGAAAATTGCATGATAAGAATGTGGATGATAAATATAAGGAGGTAATAGTTATAGGTGATTTTTTGACAAAGCATGTGGGTAAGATAGTCTATGGGGTAAATAGGGAAAATATAAAATCATAAATAATATTCAACGTTAAACTGGTACACAATTAAAAACATTTTAACTTTATACACAAGTGCCAAAATACTATAATTGAGGGAGAATATAATCAGATTATGTTACCCAGGGGCACAGGTGGAGGATATATCTGATATAATAAAGGGGGCTAGCAATGATGTAGTTTTTGTTATGCACATAGGGGCTAATGATGTAGGGAAAGGTAGGTCAGAGTGGCTAATTAATAAGTACAAGGGGGTCGACAAAGGCATTTAAAGAAAAAGGTAATAACTTAATTGTGTCAGGAATACTAACAAGAATTAATTCTGGGTATGAAATTATAAATAGGTCACTAGTGCTAAATGTTAGGCTTTGGTTAGTATGTAAGGATGAGCAAATTGGCTGTTTTGACTTGTAGGACCAGTTCATTGGGAGAAGGGAGCTTTTTGGAATGGGTGGTTTATATCTAAATAGAATATAGGCTGGCTTGTTTTGCAAGAGCTATTAACTCAGCTGTTAGGGAAGTTTTAAACCAGGACTATACAGTGGTGAGGGCCAGGAAAACTGAATGCAAAAAAAAAAGATGTAGAGAAAAGTTTAGTATAAGAAATGAGTAAAGAAGTAGTTATAAGGGTAGGCTTAATTGTTACTATTGTAATGCTAGAAGGATAAGAAATAAAATATATGATTGTAGAGCACTGGTAGGAATGTAGGATTTTGATATAATGAGAATATCTGAAACATGGTTACATGTAGATGATTTTGATGACAGAAATGTCTTTGAGATACAGGGTTATAGGTTATTTAATAGGGATAGAGTACTAAAGAGAAGGAGAAGAAAGTCTTTATATGTAAAATGTGAGTTACATCCTGTTGAAGTTGAGGATATCAAAGATAATATAACAGCAAGGATTCATGATGGGGAAAACGAAGTCTAATAATGAAAATGAAGATGGTTGATAAAATACAAAATATCCTATTTATAAGGTTTGAACGTATCAGAATACACTTATTCCATCTTCCAGTGAAATCTGAAAATTGAGTTATGAAGAAGAAGATCATTAACTAAAACTATAATATCACAATCACTAGTTTACTTAGCTTTTAAGAAAAGTGGTAAATGAAAGGATAAAACAAAACACAAAGGATTATAGATATATTGCACAACAGTTGAGTTTAAGTGTGAAAATTTAGAATAATTTTAAATCTAAAGAGCTTTGTGAGTCGTTAAGAGTTGGGCATTCTTTAGCTTTAAGTAAGCTTTCTTTACTGTAGAGTTCAAGATCCTGCAGTAATGACAGAGAAATTGTTAAATGAAATATTGTGACCTGTGGTTTCTGAATGTGAATGAATAGATGAGTGGCTGGGTTTAAATAATGGATGGTTGGTTATGTTAGATTCTCCTATATGTTCACAGACTCTACTTTTTAAGTGGAGGTCTGTTTTGTCAATGTGTTAGTTTGTCAAGAAATTAATGTCACGTTTTGTAACACTTTCAGTAACCACCCCCCAAAAAACATACATCACATATAATAGTTAAACAAACTG